TCTACGCAATCTTCTGCTGTGGGTAACAGTACGTCCCCATGAAAAACTTTGAGCCCTTAACTATTCTTGGGGGCTTAAACCCCAAGGACTCTAGTGATTTTAACACTATGTTTTTCGTCGAGCGACAAATTTTGCGCGTACGCTTGTCGACGACGAAAAAACTGATACAATCGTTTCTCAATCTTCTTCAATTCCTGGGGGTCTTCTAAGAGTCCACCTTCTACGACAAGGTGAGCGTAACTCTTAGCACGCTCCAAGAACTCCGCAAGATTGATGATACATTTCGGTGGGGACGACCAACAAGAGGGCGATTCCCCGGCCTCTGCATTCATAGATGCGCTGTCCTTTTCTTGGTTTTCTAGATTTTTGCTTTTTTCCGCCTCCATATTTTCGGAGGCTTTTCTCAAAGTGTCGACAATTTCCTCATTTGTAGGAACTCTTGGAAGGTCCGGGTATTCCTCCTTATTATTCTTATCCGGTGGGTCTTTCTTGGGGTTAAAGAGGTGTTTCCTCATATTTCTTTTGAAAGACGCAATTTTTGGCTTCTTTTTCGTAATTAAGAAAGAAGGCACTTTTTTTTCCTTCTTATCCATTTTTAAAGGGGAGGGGAAAGGGGGAGGGATGGGAAATAAATTTATGGGCGAGAGGAAGAAGAAAAAAAAATAAATAAACAAACTAAAAAATAATTATGCACACCAAATTACAATAAGGGAATAAACACGCTTCACTTAAACGTATAAAAAAAACAATAAAATACAACTATCGCCTAAAGGCGAAACAATAAAAGACAAACACAAAAACGTTAGACAATAAAAAAAAACGGAAAAACTTCGACCAAAGCCGAAGCTAAAATAAAATCAAAATGGCCGACGTCACCAAAAAATTACGAAACTATAACACAAAGCTAGTTACAAAAACCAAATGGCTGACGTCAATAAACAAAAAAATACGTAACTAAGACAAACGAAGCTAGACACAAAAATTAAAAATGGCTGACCCTAAGCGAGTCGAACCAATAAAAAAAAGAAAATAAACAAATAGATTAAAACGATTACAAAAAAAAAAACACGTAAAATTAAAAAGGATGAAAACAATTAAAATAAATAAATTAATAAGAAATTACAGCAAAACACAGAATAACGAACAGGACGAAAATAAAGAAAATGACAATTAACACGGAAAACTAGAGAGAGAAAAAAAAATAAAAAGGGGTAGAAATGAGAAGAAAAAACTGCGGAAATTACAGGAGAAAAAACGAAATTAAATTAAAAAGAAAAACGAGTAAAAATTAAAATCAAATAGGAAAACTTGAATAAACAGAATAAAGAGTAAAAAAATAAAGGGGGAGGAAAAAAAAAAAAAATGGAGAGTAAAAAAGGAAAAAATCAGAAAACTTTTACAATAAGGTCGTAAATAAAATAAACAAACTTTAAACAAAATGCAGTTCACAAGGGCAACAGGTCAAATCACAGAGAAAAGTAGTCAGCAACAGTCCAAAAATTAACCAGTAACAAAACCAATACTCATCTGTAACTTAATACATATCCTGCAAACTGAGAAATCATGCTAGTATTTATATAGTAATACTTCCACTCAGGTACCAGCAGCCAATCACAGCCCAAGCAATGGACTATCCCACTTTAGCATAATGAGATGCTCCATTGCACCATAAATAGCTCTCTGTCTCTATGTTGAATTAGTTCTTCACTCAGCTTGCTCCACAACAGAGTGGTTATCTTGACCACGTGATTGTTCGACAGTCTGTCGTTTTTAATGAAACATGATATATATATATATATATATATATATATATATATATATATATATATATATATAGGGTGTTTAAAACTTATGGAGGTGGAGCTAAAAGCTCAGGTATTTTTTACACTTTGGAATTTAATGACGCGAAATGGAAAGTAATTTTTCAGAAATATTTACCTTCTGATAATTGCCTGCGCATTATACAAGGAAACGAATGAAAGTGACATTTATCCTGATCACCATTTACTATAAAGTTTGTGGTTGTTTGTAGGGTGTCGAATAGAGGTGAAAAAAATATAATTAAGTTGAAAACTTTAACAGGCAATGCGTTTCGCCTCCTTATGGAAGGCCTCTTCAGATCAAAATGTATTATAAGGAAAGGGTGTTGGAATGCTTGCAGAAAAGATAATAGATAATCTTATCAGACGCTAAAGCCCAGAAGTTCTTTTTCTTTCGTATTGAAGCCGTAAGCGAGGGCGGGATTTGAAATTAGCTCCCTCCGAGTCCATCTCACTTTGTTTTTTTAATCGTCCATATATCGAATTGTGCTACCTTTTCTTTCATGATGATCGGTGGTATTGTGTATGAGTCCGGTCGGAGGTTGAGCATTTCTTCTTATTGTAATTCTTTTCTATTCTGATCAGACAAAAGTTTATGAATGATATGCCGAAAAACAAACCTGATCAGGTCAACCATACTATTAGAATACTGAATCGAAGTTACGTCAGACATTACTAACCGGCTTTGCATTATGTGTAAGAGACGGATCAGCAAAGAAAACTATGGTTTCGGAACTTTACTGGTATAGTCTCGCTTCTCATGCCTCTGATATCGGAAGCATTGATTTAAGAAGTGTACCCCACGTTAAAAACGTCACTTGCGCGTGCTTGATTGTTATTGTACGTTTCTCCAGTAAACTTTTCAGTATCAAATTCACCAAGCCGTCTTTCCTCATTCTATGACATGAAATATAAGCCTTATAGGAAAGATATCTCATTGAATCAATAGGGTTAGACATAGTTGAACTTGAGTAGAAAAGTTGGACATAGGTTTGGTTCCAGATTTGAATGAAAACGCTAGAAAAAGATCCCGTTCGTCAATATAAGACGAAAATGGAGACAATGGCCTGGGTTTTATAACTATACAATTTAAAAAAGCCAGACATTAATCAGGATTATACTTGTCTCTAGAATTACACAACCTGAACGTGGCTCATTTTTTTTTTTTTTGTAGAACGGTCATTAGACTGCGTGCCAAATTATTATTGAGATAAGTTTTTTTCTAATATTTCAAAAACCGTCCAATCAATTCACACAAAATTTTCACACAATGTTGGCAACACTGACCTGCGCAATCACTGACATTTTCGTACTGATCTGCGCAATGCAAACAAACTGTACGAAAATTTCAGTGATTGCGCAGGTCAGTGTTTCCAACAGTGTGTGAAAATTTTGTGTGAATTGATTGGACGGTTTTTGAAATATTAGAAAAAAAGTTAATAATAATAATTTGGCACGCAGTGTACAAGCGTAGAAATTCTTGGAAATTACTAAGAACAATGACAACGGATAATGAAAAAGTTGACTGATTACAGGATACAGACATGATTTATTTAAAATAAACATTAAAATATTCATTTAAAATATATCTCCAACAATTCAGGTTTCTGGTTAGCAGAATAAATCATTTTGTTTTTGTTTGTTCACTCAGTTGAAGTCATTTCTGACCACCGTTCGTAGAAAGCACTTCAATAGAGACGACATTTTAAATCTTTTTTGAACGAGTTTGGCGCCATGAATTTGATATGTCCTGGGAAATGATATATTTGAACGAAGTAGCTAAGTGGTTTTGGCTACTATAACCAAGTAGAATACGGTAGCAGTAATCGACTGGTACGCGTCGTAGTCGCAGGTAAGAAGTGTAGATCAATGGCATAGTCCAATGGGCGTCGTTATAGACTTAGCTCTCAGACTAAGGCTCTTTGACTCACCTACACGTCCGTCTGTATTTTGACGGACACCAGCCAATCATATTCCAGTGAGGAGGAACACAGGGTACGCATATTCCATAATATCAGAATGGCATCCATATTAAATGCTTAAACTGGCGAAACGCTTTAAAAAGATGACACTTTGTTTTGACATTAATGTTTTGGTTTAGTAGTAGCTTGCGATGCTGAGCGATAGCTACCCGTAACGCAAGTTATTCTATGTTCAATTCTCATCTTCTATAGGAAACTAGCTGTAACCGATTCATACGCTGAAAGTGTTTGCAAATTCTTCATTCTGTATTTTTAGGAAAGACTCATGACTGTTTTCATTCCAATTCCGGATCATTGTTTCTGTCTTGTCTCATTTTACTCCTTCTTCTTGTCTCAAATATTTACCGATTCCATAGAAGAATTTTAAGCGATATTTTATAGCCATGTAACTCGCAATGAGCCTATTCAATCATTAAAGTAAGAATTATTATTGATCAGAATATAGGAATAGCAAAACCTTGAAATATTCACGGTTACAGCTAGTCTGGTGCTGCTTCTATATATATATATATAGGTAATTGATAAAATGCAAAGAGGAATCTGCAATGTTATCGGTCCTAACCTGGCATGTCGGCTTCAGTCACCTTCCCACCGGCGTAACGTAGCCTCCTTATTTCTTTTCTATAAATATTTTTATGTCGAGTTTTCGTCTTTTGATACTTATACTTTATGAATTCAAGCGCAGTACTAGATTGGCGGTGAGGTCTCATCAATTCACAGGTGAATTGGCTAGATGTAACCGTAGGTTCTATGCTAACAGTTTCTTCTATCACACTATTCGGTTGTAGAAATCTCTTCCGGTTTATTGCTTCCCGGTCAATTTAAATGCAGTGTTACTCATTATCTTTGTCTTCTTTATTCATGGCCTTCTATTGTTTTTTGCTTAAGGTCATAGCACGTTGAAAAACCGGTTCTGATACGATCACCGAAGTTAAGCAACAGCGAGTTTTGTCACTACCTCGATGAGTGACCGATTAGGAATACTCAGCGCTGTAAGCTTGGATATACCTGTGGTGTAATGGAAAATGACTCGGAATTGTCAATCAGGGAGTCGAGTTCCCGTACGATCACCGAAGTTAAGCAACGTCGACACTGGTCAGTACCTAGATGGGCAACCGCTCAGGAATACCATCTACTGTAAGCTTGGATGTGCGGGTGGTGTAATGGATAATGGCTCGGAATTGTCAATCAGGGAGTCGAGTTCCCGTACGATCACCGAAGTTAAGCAACGTCGACACTGGTCAGTACTTAGATGGGCAACCGCTGGGGAATACCAGGGGCTGTAAGCTTGGATGTGCGGGTGGTCTAATGAATAATGGCTCGGAATTGTTAATCTGAGACGCGAGTTCCAATTTCCGTTGGTTTCGTGATATTAGCTTACATGTAAAAACCCTTAAGAAATTTATATATCTACATCTTTTCCCCAGCTATGGGTTAATTAGCTAGACTGGTATCACTAAAACCATTACTATAAGAAGAAAAAAAATCTTCTTACAATATAAGAATATGTTTTGGCTTTAAAAGAACTTGCAATATGTTGATAAGGAATAGAAAACGAACCAATAATAATAATAAAAAATATTTTTCTCTCTATTTATTTCCCTTTACTCATATTCTTTCACGCTGAGTACCTTTATATCTTAGTAACTTTATTGCCTTGCTTGTGGTGAAATGATAAAAAAATCTTATATAAAACCTATAAAGAAAAAAAATGTCCCCCAACATTTTCGAAAATTATTAAAAATATAATCAGCGACAAGAAAGCACCTCTATGAATCATGTAATTAGATTTTGATTGCAATCGTTTTGTTGAATTGGAACCCATTCGGATTAGACGGTTTTTGGATTATTGAGAAACCGGATAGACATTTCAGAGAACTCCTGCTTCTGTGACGAGTTTGCATCGATGATAACAACAATGGAAAAAAGGGAAGATCCTTCCACTCGTCAGGCAACAATGGATGCCAAATAGTAAAGACGATCGCCAAGCTCGATACGGTGAGATCAGAGAGCACAAGATTTAAAGCAAAGACCAAAGAAAATGTCAGCCCCAGGAATATCAACACAGGAAGTTGAGAACCGTTTATTTGAAATTTCATGGTTAAATATTCGAGCTCAACATCTTCAACAAAATATTGCAATAAGAATCAAGAGTACGAATCCAGGTCAATATTTTAAGAAGAAAGAGGTTACAAATTAAAATAAGCAAAATTGAGATTTTTTAAAATTATACTGAAAAAGGGGGAATGTTATCACCTTCTCTTTATTTTTTCTTCTTCTTTTAATTATTATTATTATTATTATTATTATTATTATTATAGATATAGCTATGAACAGATTGGGATAGATAGATAGATAGATAGATAGATAGATAGATAGATAGATAGATATGAACAGACTGGGATAGATAGATAGATAGATAGATAGATAGATAGATAGATAATGAGCAGGCTGAGATAGATAGATAGATAGATAGATAGATAGATAGATAGATATGAACAGACTTAGATAGCTAGATAGCTATCTAAATAGATATGAACAGACTGGGATAGATAGATAGATAGATAGATAGATAGATAGATAGATAGATAGATATAAACAGACAGGCATAGATAGATAGATAGATAGATAGATAGATATAAACAGACTGGCATAGATAGATAGATAGATAGATAGATAGATAGATAGATATGAACAGACTGGGATAGATAGATAGATAGATAGATAGATAGGTAGATAGATAGATAGATAGATATAAACAGACTGGCATAGATAGATAGATAGATAGATAGACAGATAGATAGATAATGAGCAGGCTGAGATAGATAGATAGATAGATAGATAGATAGATAGATAGATATGAATAGACGCAGAAGTATCCATGATAGCTAGATATATCCTTTTTTCCTCACTAAATCCATACATTTCTTTACTTCTTTTCTGGCTATCAAAATCGACTCTGCCCATTCTTTATCTTCGGCAATTGGAGGGCGTAACACACTAACTAACGTAACTAAATGACTAAAAGACGCAGGGACAAGAATAATTATATGATTTTACTTGATGCGAATTCCATTGAACGGGGGAAAGGGTAATTGTAGCCTGACTCAAGCTAACACCACAATACCGTCTCCCCCGTATCCAGCGGAGATCAAATGGCAGTTTCCAGAGAAGAGGGCAGATTCCGCGTTCACGTGGTCGCTTAGGGGTGCAATGTAAACCTGGGGAGCGACTTCTTCCAGGGCTTATGCCATCACAAAGATATACAGGCCCAATATTGGGCAACATATATCATACTTTTGTCTTACATCGAAAAGAATTTCCTTTTTCGAAGATGCTGCCTCTTCGTTTCCGATCTGACTCTGCGACTTGCTTTGAAGTTTCAAAGACATTATGTCAGCAAGTTTCACTTTCACTCACTCACCCTCGCGCAGCAGTTTCCATTGTCCTCTGACAGTCGTTGATTTTACAAGAGTGGAAGAAGAAGAAGAAGAAGAAGAAGAAGAAGAAGAAGAAGAAGAAGAAGAAGAAGAAGAAGTGAGGTTTTCGTATTTTCGTAGCGTCCTCTTTTACATATTTCAGTTGTTTTTATTATAGTTATCTCGCATGGATACATCTGCGTGCATCTATCTAGTTTAATCTGTTTCTATCTATCTATCTATCTATCTATCTATCTATCGCTTTCAGTCTGTTCCTATCTATCTGTCTATCTATCTATCTGTCGATCTATCTGTCAGCTGGTTGATATCTATCTATCTATCTATCTATCTATCTATCCCAGTCTGTTCCTATCTATCTATCTATTTATGTATCTATCTATCTATATCTATATATATATATCGCTTTCAGTCTGTTCCTATCTATCTATTTATCTATCTATCTATCTGTCAGCCGGTTGATATCTATCTATCTATCTATCTATCTATCTCTTTCTCTCTCTCTATCTCTCTCTCTCTCTCTCTATCTATCTATCTATTCTATCTATCTGTCAGCCGGTTGATATCTATCTATCTATCTATCTATCTATCTATCTATCTATCTATCTCTTTCTCTCTCTCGAGCTATCTATCGATCTATCTATCTGTCAGCCGGTTGATAACTATCTATCTATCTATCTCTCTCTATCTATCTATCTATCTATCTATCTCTCTCTCTCTCTCTATCTATCTATCTATCTATCTCTCTCTCTCTCTCTATCTATCTATCTGTCAGACGGTTGATATCTATCTATCTATCTATCTATCTATCTATCTATCTATCTCTTTCTCCCTCTCTATCTATCTATCTATCTATCTATCTATCTATCTATCTATGTATCTATCTATCTATCTATCTGTCAGCCGGTTGATATCTATCTATCTATCTATCTATCTCTTTCTCTCTCTCGAGCTATCTATCGATCTATCTATCTGTCAGCCGGTTGATATCTATCTATCTATCTATCTATCTATCTATCTCTCTCTCTCTATCTATCTATCTATCTATCTCTCTCTCTCTCTCTATCTATCTATCTATCTATCTGTCAGACGGTTGATATCTATCTATCTATCTATCTATCTCTCTCTCTCTCTCTATCTATCTATCTATCTATCTCTCTCTCTCTCTCTCTATCTATCTATCTATCTATCTATCTATCTGTCAGACGGTTGATATCTATCTATCTATCTATCTATCTATCTCTTTCTCCCTCTCTATCTATCTATCTATCTATCTATCTATCTATCTATCTATCTATCTATCTATCTATCTATCTATCTATCTTTTTAGATGAATATATATTTTTTTAGAGAATTAAATTAATTAGAAAACTAAACCCAGGGCTGTTTAGAAAAAAGACTTCAGTGTTACTAATCATTTTCAAAATTCTTATTGGAATGGTCATTTGATTTGTATTCTTTGTTTGTCTCAGAAACATTCACCTTAATTAATCATCCGTTTGTAATTTAATTTTCTTTTCGTTTGGTTTGATATTGTCGTTGTGATCTCTCTCACTGCCTATCTGAGAGTATAAATGTTATTTTTAATTTCAGGTTTGAATCAGTCGCAATTCGTATTACAGTTAATCTGAATATTTAACAGCTATTATGTTTTTTTCTTTCATTTTTTACTCTGCTATTGAACCATTCTTCATGAATCTGGGGATAGATTACGAATCACTACCTTTCCCAAAATTAAATATGATTTCAGTTAAACGTTACATGGTTAAAAAAAAAAAAATTCTGTGGGTCGATGATCGATTCTCCCAATATGCTAACGAATTGTTCAATCTGTGAATTAAACTCTGGCTATCTTTACTTTTTCCTCACTTTAGGAAGGACCCTAATATCCGCTTGCATGGCCTAGGAGATTATGCTCCCGCAGGTTAAGGAACTCTCTCTTGGCTCTCCGGACAATTTTTACATGTGTCTTTCTCTCTCTACTAATCTCGGTCAGCTAATTTCTTTCTTTACTGTTCACCTTCCTCCCATGACTGCTGCGTGCTCAATAGCATTTCTGATAACATAAACACGGTTATCTCTCTACACTCGTTTGCAATTATATTTGTGTTCGGTGAATTTAACGCTCAGCATGACAAGTGGATTAAACAATGCGTCACTGTTCGTACTTGTATCCAAACCCCGGCGTCACATTATGTTGCAGTCTGCGCCAATTCGCAGCCCGCAGTTTTGCGATCGTCAGACAAACGTTTGTCTGGCGATCGAAAAAGCGTGAAACCCAGGGTCACAAACTCACATCAATCCAACCAAATATATATATATATATATATATATATATATATATATGAAATATAGGCCAAATGCTTGGAGTCACCCTTTGGATTTCGAAGAATACCCAAAAGACTTTGCGTACCTTTTCAAAACTAATATATCTTATCTCTACAAGCCAGTGGGCCTTTCTCTTTTTTAAGTGAGTTACCGTCAAAAATAATATTATTAACGAATTCAGCGCATTACTACATAGAGTTTCTTTCTTTTTTGCCCGATCTACCTGATTATTTTATTGGTGTTGAATATTTTAAGTATCCACCACAATTCTAAAAAATAGTTCCAGTATTTTAGCTTAGACTCATTTAAACCAAAAGATACAAAATAATTATTAAATCCTCAGACCCCACCTGGGAAATACTGTCGTAATGATGATAAGGTGATGTCAGATAGGGATGATTTTTTAACTTTTTCGCCAATGGATTTCAAGCTGTGGAACACTGATGGAAGAATTCAAAGGTTGCCACGGAAAAATATCGCCAAAATTACGCAAAAATGAAAATAACACTAACGTCTCTTTTTAATAGATATATTTACAAAAATTACACAAAAGCTATCTTGAAATACTAAAGACTAAATTTATTCAATAAAATCGACATTGGCTTCAACCAGGGCCTTCGGAATCTTCGGCATTTCTTCTGGACAATCTCCTAGTTTAGTTGCCATAATCCTTGCCTTTCGTTCATCTTTGGTGTTACATGGAGTTTTGTTTGTCTCTGTGATACTATTTCGCTATGGTAATTGGCTAACTAATTAAGCATGGCAATTAAAAGCGAGAAATACTTCAGGCGAGAAAAAAGCTATAACGAAAGACATACTGAGCGATGTAATTTTTTTTTTAACAAAAGAAAAATGGGTAAAGATTTTATTTTCATTTGCGAAGAAAGGTATTTTTTTTCACAGAAGATAGAAAATTCGTAAGATCTCGGATCTGTCAGAATTAATTTATGCTATGACGCGGCGACAAAAGGCGGAATGCGGGTAAAAGATAGGAATCTTTCCATGGCAATAATGAAAATTTCAATTTGGTCAAGAGGCTTACAAAGCAGAATGCTAGAAGATAATCGAAAATTGGGTCAAGCATGCGACCGAGAAAGAATTAGGTGAGACCACCCCAAAGAAAAAGGAAGAATAAGAGAAAAAGAAAAAGAATAAGCCATTAACTATCTTTCGGAGATATCATTTGGTTTTGGAAGGAGAACCATGCCATGATAAAAGTTTGTCACCTGGACAGGCTGTTAGCGACAGAATGCGATGATGTTGAGAAAGACAAAGAGATTTAGTTGACCACACGGAAAATAAGTCGGCGAATATCCCATTAACGAATCCCAGATGACATCAAGTAAAGATAAAAATTTGATGTCCACAGTACGATTCATAGAGGTTCTGGCCGATGGAAAAAAAAAGGGAAGATTATTTTTTTCTTTGAGCGATAATTGTAAACTGAGGCCAGTCTAGCCACACTCACATTGCCGAGCGTTCATTGGCTGAATGTTAGCGTGAGCGATGGGCGAAGGTAAACATATGAGAAACAAGGGAAACCTGTTGACGCCCTCTGAGGGGATTGGTGTGAGATACCAGTATGAGAAAGGAGGAGTTTAGGAGGATAATTCCCTTAAGAACCCCTCTAAACCAGAAAGTAATTGACTTCCAAAAAAAAAAAGTGATAAATTTTCCTGTTCAAAAACAAAGAAAATCCTTATTGTGGATTTAGAATTATCGAGGAACCCAAACCACGACAGGTCCACACCCGGTTTTGGTCGGCGTCTATATAAACGAAAGTCCCCAGAATAAAAAAACAGTTGGATAAGACAGTTGGCCACAGTTGGAGTCACAGAGTTGAGTTGCAGTTGAGCTCTGAGCACGGAGACTAGCCTCGCATGAGCTGACTGAAAGATTTCCACGCATTCCGACTTAGACTTCTAACCAAAAACAAATTTTTTTGAAGAAGGACTGAGACTCACACCACCAAAACAAAGTATACGAATATTGCCTGAAGATACCAAAAAGCAGTTTATTGAAAAACAACTTAAGATATTAAGACTCGCCTAAGAACCGCAAAGTGTCACGAATCGATAGAAGCGGTTTGGGAGAAAGACGCAGTCCTGTATTTAGCAAACAGTTGTAAAGATATTTATTATTTTTTGTTTCAACACATTTGAATCTTTTGAGTTGTTACATTATTTTCTTTTACATATACTTGTGCGGTATCACCTTTGCCCCGGATTCAGCTTGTACTACGGCCCGACGCCTGATTGATTTCGTCTATATAAAATCAAATCACAACGTGGGTAGGTTAGACTAGAAATCAAAGCAGTTACTTCGGTAACCAGACGTTGGAAGCGAGCTGGGAACGACAAAGCTGATATCAAATCTAACCAGATTTTCATCCGAACCAGCCAAGGGTTAGATCGTCACAGGTTAGCACAGGAGCAGGAGCAGGGTGACGTCCCATCTCTGATTTAACTGCGCCCACACACAATAATCAAGGGTCTTGCAGTCTGGGGAGTTTGGTGGCCAGATGTAGGGGGTGATTTGGTAGCATGAATTGTCTGAGGGTCATGAATGGGTTCTCCTGCATATGTGGGGTAGTGCAGTGTATTTTGCCAGACATGCGTTCTTCTAGCAGCCACCCTCTTGATCCGAGACAGCGTGACCTCCTTAAGACACTGTAGGTATCCGTTTTGATCCTGGCGCCCTGTGGGATGATGACTGGTGTCAAAACGTTGCCATGGAATGTAGTCACTTCAATCACCCTCATGTTGACTGGATATATCATCCAAATCTTTCTGAATTCTCTGCATTGTCCTCAGATTGACACCGAAATAAGCTAAAATGTTCGGATTAGATCTTCCGGTACGATTGTCAAGCTATACAGCATGCAAATTTCTGGCGGAGAGAATTACGTCATAGTTCACATTTTCTCATAGACGGCTCTCAACTGAACTTACTTATACGATGCAGTCGATAAAATAAAAACTTACAAAGCGCATGCGTGAAATTAATATAAAATTGGGATAATGTGCCCATCGCACCCTTTATTTGAACCGCAAAGTGAAAACTAACCCTCATTTAGGCAGATTCCATGATAATATTTTGGTCAGCATGTGATGTTTTCAACCAACCTACGTAAATATGCATACATACATACTCTCTATCTCTCCCACACACACACATATATATATATATATGTAGTGTATGTGTGGCTGTGTGTATGTGTGAGTTTGTGCATGTCTGTGGTATGTTAGCAAATGAACTTCAATAAATTACACACACACACACACACACACACACACACACACACACACACACACACACACATATATATATATATATATATATATATATATATATATATATAGTATATTCCAACTCATTTAGGCAGAGATTCCATGAGAATATCTCGGTCAACCTGTGATCTTTCAACCAATAACTTACGTAAAATATGCATACATATATATATATATATATATATATATATATATATATATATATATATACACACACACACACACATATATATATGTGTGTGTGTCTATGCTGAGTGTGTGTTAGAAAATGAGATTCAATAAAAAGCAATATATATATATATATATATATATATATATATATATATATATATATATACACACACACACACACATACAATATATATATATATATATATATATATATATATATATATATATATAGTATAATTCAGCTTCCTATTTAATTCTAATAGCTGTCGAATTCCAGCCTTCAGTTCGTGGAAGTTTTCTCTTCTCTCATTTCTGTCGTACCAAATATTAAAATGAAATTGAAAAATGGACTCTAAAAAAGACATTCCATCTTATTTATTGACGCTGCAAAAGTCTGTGGGAAGACTGTATTTTTGCTA